TGGTCTCTTCTCCCAGGCAACCAACAACAGGACAAGGGGACATGGGCTCAAGCTCTGCCAGGGGAGGTTTAGGTTAGATGTTAGGAAGAAATTCTTTACAGAGAGGGTAATCAAGCATTGGAACAGCCTACCCAGAGAGGTGGTGGATTCACCATCCCTGGAGATTTTTAAGCAGAGATTGGATGTGGCCCTTAGTGCCATGCTATAGTAATTGGAGTTGGATCAGGGGTTGGACTTGATGGTCTTGGAGGTCTTTTCCAACCCAATCTATTCTATTCTGTGATTCTATTCTATTCTATTCTATGAAACCTCACGGAGGTGGGGTGGTGGCATATCCCTCATGGCAGGCCCCTGGAACCCACATGGGGAAGCCCCAGACTAGCTGTCAGTCACAAAGAGTCTGGGAAAACTGCTTTTATTTAAAAATGGGACAGGAGAAAAAGGAACTATGGTTAAATAATGTTAAACATCAAGAATCATTAAGTTCTTAGGAGAATATAATTCTGTCTAGAATACGGCAAGACGAGTATGTAAAGCCTTGCTTTTAATTCAGTTGCATTATTAACTATATTTTTATATATTGCTTGTATGAGTTGTGCTATTTTCTGTGTTGTGTATCTGTTGTAGACTGGAGTAGAACTGCTACTAATGGTTTAAAGAAGCAGACCGTAAATCAAGGAGTATCCAGTTCTTCCAATTCCTTACAATCAAACAGTAACTCCACTAACTCTACAACACTGCTAATGAATAACGATTATTCAGTGCATGCGAATGGAAATGGTAAGTATAATGCCAAGTAGTATTTCTCAAGCTATTTTTTTCTTAAAACACAAATGCTATTCTCTTTTATGCTGATGTAAAGGAAAGTGCTGTCAAAGTAGGGTCAGAATATTTCAGGATTTCCTCACAAATAATATCACACCTCCATTTTTGGGAATTACAGGCAAAGTTGTGAAATATCGATTTCTCCTAGTCACTAGGAACTCTTGATTTATATATAATTTTGTAGGTAATATATGTTATTATAGCAATTACTTACCAGAAGCTGCTGATAACACTTTTCTTGTCACCTGAATATATGACAAAAAACTTCAAACACATTTTGAAACATTTCACATTTTAAACCATATTAGAACAAATATTGCCTGAAGAAGAAAGAAATACAGGATAATAACATAGCTTGAAAGTCTGAAAGAAATCAAGTAGGAGGTAATATGAGGAAGAACATTGAGTGCTCGTATGGAAGCTGCTTATGAGAGGAGAAGTAAGAGAAAATGGAGACTGTAACATAACACCTTAGTGAAGAGGTGAGAGGGCTTCCTCACTGTTGGCTACAGAGAAAACATTGAAACTGAATTTCTCTATAGCCCTTTATTTCCCCTGTGGGATTTTTAAGGATGTTTTTGCCCAACAGAAACATCTTTGTTGCAAGAAACAATTCTTCAGAAGTAAAATTCTCTATCCTTCCTGCTCTGACTTAATACTGTCCTCTGAACTGCTACCCTCTCCTCTGTTCCTGATAAGTTGAAATGCAGGTGTATGTAGCACTCCATTCAATTTCACTTGCAATTTGGTGTGGCTTATTTGTCTATTGAGAAAACTACATCTGAATCACCACTGAAGGTACTTATTAAAAACTGATCTTTTTTCAGTGGACATAATCTAGTTTTTCACACTCTTGCTGGGCACATGTCATGCTGCTGATCTGAGCTCTCAGAAAGGACAATCAGTGTTGGTGGGGAGGCTCTCGAGAGACATACATACACGACCTATGAGATCTAAAATATGTCCGATTTATTAGGATAGCTCAGGGTTTTTATAGCATCTGTATACAAGGTCTTGTGACAAGAAGCATATTATTGGTTAAAGATCACTGACCAGATGTAAACATGCATTACAAATACCTTTATAATTGGTTATTAACAGGTAATAAGGCAATTGTTTACTTTATCAAACTCCCCCTTCTTCTTGGCACTGAGTTCCTTTTGTTCTAGCAAAGACACCCATGGCCATCTTGACACCTATAACTTATAGTACTTATAAAACTATATGAAAGTTTATAAAAGTCTATAAAAGTACCACACATAATATAAATTGCTCACACATTCATCATGTTCCTCCCACAAATCAGGTTTTTGAAGAGAAAAATAACTTAAAAATCTGTAACGGATAAAAACTTAAGCAAATCTCAGAGGACATTACTCCTACGTGCCTGAGGTATCTTTCCCTATTGATTAAGAGTTGAGGTTAAGAAGTCATGTAATCAGCTGGAATGTTTATTATGAATTTGTTGAACATGCTCAGAGAGGTGGTGTTGCACTCATTTCCTGGTCCATGCAGTCAGAAGACAGCAGATAATCAGTGGGATAATCTCAGCAGATAACCTCTCAGATGTATAGACTGCATGCCCCCTAATAGATTACTGTACTAACTGCATATTCTAAAGGAATCACAGTACTTCAGGAAATGGCACTTGGACATGCCCTGAACAGTTTTGCAAACTGAGCTTGTAAAACTAGGTGGGTTTTTTTGGTGGCTTTTTGTTTGTTTGTTTGTTTGTGTTTGGTTTTGTGTTTTTTTTTTTTTTTTTTTTGATACTCGCTTATGAAATCTCTGTATTTGGATACCACACAATGCAATAATTAACATACTTTGTATCTAACAGGTCAGTTAAGAACCAGAATCCAGTAATTCTCACCACTAAAGTCAGGTAACATTTTAGGTAGAAGTATTACCTCTCAAAGAGAGAAATTGTCAGGCACAAAAGCTTGCATGCCTTGATGGATGTGGTTTTTTCCCCAGCTATGTTAATTAACTGATGAAAGATGCCGCCTCTCCATTTCTGTGTAAAAGCATTTTGCATGCTTCTACACAGCTACAAAAGCATTTTGGCTGCTTTTCTCAACAGAAAGAAAGATAACAGAAATGTTCTAATAAACTACTTTGTTGTAGCAACTGAGTGAATGGTCCTGTTGTGGCTTTCTGGAAAATGGTTTTGTTGTTTTGGATAGCATTTTAGAATGAGATGCTAAATTGATGATCTAAACCGTTGAGTGATGCAAATTCTGTGGGACATCCTCTAATTCTGTCCTAGTTTATTCACATAATTAGATCTTTCCAGTGTGACAGTCTGTGTGTCCAGTGCCAAAGGCTTCTCAGACAAAGCAGCTGAAAGAACTTTGTTGCAGTGCATTCATGAACACAGATGTTTCAGATGATCCACTTCATTTTCTCCTGTATTTTATTGTATATTTTGAATGTACTGTCAACTTTGTACCACAGCATCCACTCATGTCAAGAGGGCTATATGATACCTTGCTTGCATGGTTTGACTAAATAATTCTTCTGGGTCTTTAGGACTTCCATGAGAAGATGCTAAACCTATGCTTGGATAGAGCTGATCCTCTCAACAAAGCTCTTTGAGGCAATTCCTCACTGTTAATCTTCCAAACGTGGGACAGTTGTATCTCAGAAGAGTTAGGCAAATGCCTCCAAAAGGCAGTTGACTGGTGTTAGGAACACAGGACCTTCTAATTTGCTGTATTTGCTTGCCCTGCTCTCACAGCCAGACCTTCAAAATAGCATTGTAATGCTTCACTTGAAAAAGTGAGGACTGAATGGTTTATCATTATAAGTTTGGGATGTGGCTTTGTTTGTCTGCTGGACAGTGTAACTTTGTCTTTTCATGGCATTCTAATATTTCCTTGTTTTCAGTTTTTCTGTTACCGATTTGCATGCTTGGGAAACTGCCATTAGGTATCACATGGCTGAGCCTGCAGATTTCCTCACTGAGGAAGAGAAACTACCTTTCTAAATTTGTTCACACAATAGCCTTATTTTTTTCTAAGATTTTGCCCTAACATTAGGGCAGAGCCATTTTGAACACTCCTTATAAAGTAAAACAGTTGTAGTCAGGCGGGGGTTAAACAACAATTACCGTGTCAGCAAGTATGGCTATTTTCTGTCATTTCAGTTTTCTTATGATTTGAATTGATGAACAAAGCCCTCCTGTTCATCTTACCATTTTTACATTTGTGCCTGTTTAAGTGTTTGATGGCTGCTTAAATTAATAACCAAACAATAAAAAAAACCACAAACCCACAAACGGAAGCATTTACACAAATACTTAGAATAAAAAAAACCAAAATCTCATAAAAATATTTAGAATGTGATGCATAGAGGTAGGAGATTCTATCCAGTGAATGAGCATTTGTGGAGCATTTCATTAAAAGGCTTCAGTCACCAGTGGTATTATGTGTTCATTGTAGATTCACCTAAATGTGTTAGATTCTCTTCAGTCTAAATGGCTTTGACCCCATCATTGGACCTAGGCCATATTCTGATTGTTTCCAGAAATAAAAGCTGCAAACTGAATGCCGATAAAAGAAAAAAAAAAAAATATCCTTGTTTTCTCAAACACTTTCTTCTTTCGGATATATGGCCTACCTCAGAAACCTTTTAAACTTGATAAAGCAAAACTAAAATAAGAAGTATTTTGCATCTTATCTAGTGATATTTATTCCAAGTCAAGGTTTATATTTTGAGAATCTTGAGCCTCACTGCATAAAACTGTGGAATCTTATTTATCTTCGTATAACCAGACACAAGTGTTTGCTAAGGAGGGCGGGAGAAAAACCAAGCTCCACCCTCTAAGTAATTATAACTTCGACATTAAGAAGCTCCAGTCGAAAAGGTGTGGAAAAGAAAAATAACAGCTCTTTACGAGAGAATATATATGTATAGGTATCACAACAAAAGAGAAACAAGCAACAATCCCTCACCCAAACTCCCTCCGAAAACAATTAAGCCCTTTTCTCCTGTCGGAGCAGTTCTAACCACGGCCAGCTCCGCTGGGACCCCACGGAAGGGGAGGGGAGGAGGGAGAGGGTGATTCCTCCTGTGGAGTCACGCTGTCAAAGGCTCTGGCTGGAATTCCCCTTCCTCGACAATCAGTGTAAACTACCACTGGCACGGAGGAGGAGGAGTGGGGGGTAAGAACAGCCTTTCCCCTCAAAAGTTCCTCTGCAGATGGTACCGGCTTCTCCCATGAAATCCGAGGCAGGTCCGGGCCGTGGGCAGAAACAGGGCGTGAGGGAACGGAGGGGAACCGGGGCCAAAGGCAACCAGATGGCTTGGCCGAAAACAAAGTGAACCCTGGGGCTCTTTCTTTTCACACACACCCTCCCTGAGTCCGGGCAGAAGTGAGATGCTGGCACCAGAAACAAAAAACCAAAACCTCACCTTCCTCTACAGTCTCCTGAAGCCATTAGCTTGGAATGGGGGGCTATTAGCCAATCCTTCAGTCTGGCCATCTCCTCCCCCTCCATCGCTCAACAGCTTTCTTTCACAGTGGTAAAGGGAAAAAATTCCAAGCAGTTCTTGTCTTCTTTCTTTAAAACAAGAAAACCTATGAAATTATTGTTCATAAATATATTACCGTCTCTCAAATATCATGATTTCACATTGACTAATTGTTGCAGGGATAAAAGGAGAGTCTATGAACTCCTTCAGTGACTGAAAAAGCATAGTAGTCTTAATTCTGAACCTTTCTCATGGGGGATGCCCTTTTTTTGTTTCAACAGGCCACCTTTCCAGTGAGAAGAATGGCGTTCCTTTCAGTGTACAGAATGGTGATGTGTGTCTCCATGACTTCTCAGGCAAACAACTTGTGTTTCAAGACAAGGATGATACTGGCAGCCAAGAAAGCCACATCTCACTCAGAAGGACTTCAAAGAGAGGAAGCCTAAATTCAATGGAAAAAATGTGATTTCCTTTTAAACAACACATTGTTTTACAGTGTGAAGTAGAGTTTTACTTAAACAGTTTTACATAATGTGAGCAGACCAAGAACTGATTTTATTTAATATATGGTTCTGGAACTTCAAGGCAGCCATGCAATGGATTGACAAGGACAATTAAAGGGGAAAAAAAAGGAAGCTACTATTTTTACAAGGTCTTGAATGTCAGATTACAGCTGGCACATTTCCGTTTTGATTCTCCATCAGAATGGGGGTTTTGAGGGTTTTTTTTACATCTAAACAAAAGTTTTGTTTAGACTTTTTTCATTACAATTAAGTTTATCTGGATATAATGCTTAGTAGTATTGTATAGATGTAGAAAATGCATTACAACTTGTGCATACAAACGATGTTAACTTTAAAAATGTTAGCTACACTGTCCTCAACTTTTTGTACATTGTAGTAGCAAACTCTGTAGTGATGTACATAAGCAGAAAAATATCAACCCTTAAGCATCTCAATGATACTTTTATATTTATTTCTTGTAATATAAATATTCCTATGTATAGAAAAATAATTGGTATTTTGTTTTTAACTTTTATTGTAAGTTCACATTTTTCTTTAGTTAATTAACAGAATGCTACAGAAGTTACTTTGTTCAGTAAGTGGAATCACTTACAGTGGTTTGAATACATTCACTAGCTGAAGAACTGTAAATAACAAACAGGATCTGTCTTGAACCTCTAGCAACCTTTTGGTGCACCACAGAGGGATAAAAACTGGATATAGTCCAAGCAGAGTGCCATGAATGAGGCAGTAATAAGTAAAGTAGCCAGAGGGCTATTAAATACAACTAAGTTATGCTGTGGCTTGAGTAAATCCATCAGAGTTTTTGACACTGATTTCAGCAGAGTCAGTTTTTGTCTTGAGTGGTGGTTCCAGAGATTAAGCACACTGCCATCGCTCATTTGCAATGATGAACGTAGAGAAGTTTGTGGCTTCTTGGGAAAAAAAATAGAAATAATAAATACCAGCTGCTATATTTAGTAGCTGAGAAATTGTTTGCTTCATTGTGTGGCTGTTTTTTAAGGGGCAGCTCTGGGGCTATTTTAATGAGTATTTCTGCTTGTGCTTTGGCCCTTGGTTAGAAAACAAATCCCGAAGCCCTTGCTCAGTAAGTGCTGAAGCAAAATGTCATTCCTCTTGTGATATTTGCCTGATAAAAGCTGGATTTTCACTCTTCATGCAAAGCAACTCAAAGCCTACACAATGTTGTGAAGATTTTTCCTGAACAGAAATTAGCCTGAGCCCTGGTTGTACCTCTTCCTTCTCACACAGGTGTGTGGCTATGGTCCACTGCTTTTTTAATCTGTGTTCTTGGGCAAAGGCTGGATGCTCCTGGAGCAAGAACTTGAACAAACTGGCACCTGACTGCAGAGTAAGAGACCCTGTAAAGGGGCATGTGTGAAGCAGATACTTGTTGAAGGGGAGTGAGGGCTTTGCTTTCCCAGAGGACTCAGCAGGGAGCCCTGGAAATACTCTTCTCAACAAAAATCATCAGCTTAAATGCCTCCTTTCTGGGGCTCTGTTGTAGTTCAGCAATTGAACCTCTTCAGTACTCAAACCCTCTTGTGGTTTTGTGGATAACACATGGGTTCTTTCGGTCACCTATGTCTAAGATTACTCTGAATATGCTTCTAATGTGAGAATTCAAAGTATTCGTTGCGTTTATCCACAAGGTTTTAGCTGCATGAAAGCCCACCTTGGAATGCTAGTAGCTGGAGTGCATTTCTGTGAATGCTTTTAACTATTTGGCTAATTGCCTTTGCAGTGTTTCTTGTAAATTTATTTAATGTTCCTATATTTATATTTTCAACTGTAAAAAAAATAAATTTGCAGCAAGTACAACACGTAAAATATATATAAACTTTGTCTTTTAGATAAATGTGTCGTTAATACTGGCCTGTATTACAGTTCTTCAGATTACATGAACTGCAATAACCTCTTGGAGAAAATGCTGACCTAGCTGTTACATTAATTGTCTCTCACATATTTTACCTTTCATGGTTCTAGATTTGGATTTTAGGAGAGAAAACTGTGGTAAGTCTGTCCAGCCAGTGCCTGTCCAAGTTTGCTGAAGCTCTCCCACAAGAATGCTTTAAGCCAAAGCACACAGCTGAGTTTGGCTTCAGTAGTTAAATTCCCTATGAAAACACATATTCCACTGTCACTGACCTGCTTGGAATCTTCCTCTTGTTTCTATTTTTTGCACACTATGTTAGGATTCTTTAAATAATTTTTATTTTACATATTCCTAAGGGTGGGGAGCCCTTTCTGACTTTGATACTTAAAAGCACGCACACATTGTAGCAAAATTTTGCACTCACACCAGCATATTATTGTAGCTTAGTAAATAATTAGCATCATTAAACTAGCCGAAAATGTGTTTTCGCGTTGGGTGTTATGGTATCCTTTGGGTACTCGGTCTGTTGGGCACTGCTAGGAGTTCAGCCACAGCACCCAGAGCTTGGTGAAAGCTGCAACCCCTTCCCAAAGCACAAAGTAAAACTGTGCGTCAACTCCTGGGTGCAAAGCTAACTCGGGATCATCTGTAATGAGGTTTTAAGCTTAGCCATAGATAAACAGCAACCTGCCGTGTACAGCTGGCACCACCTCGCTCAGCAAACCTGTTCCCTCAGTTGCAGGCAGTGTCTGTAAAAAGCAGTGCCCTGAAGCAAGGAGCTTGTGTGGAGTTCAGGGGCGTGAACTGGTCCATGTCTTGGGACAGCACAGCTCTGGCAGATGGAGATGGTGAACCCTGTCCCCTCCTGGTGGAACCTACAGCGTGTGGATGTCTGATGTTTGCTGAAGGAATTTGTCTCTTTTGAATGCTGTTTTCTCAACCATGGCTGTCAATTATATAGGCAATGAAGGCTGCACAGCAAGAAGTTAGCGTAGTAACTGTTAATGCTGCAATTTCAGGTGAGAAAAGTAAAACAATGGAAAAAAATCCTTTCTAAAATGTGAGTGAATCCCATACTTCCAGCTACTCTGCAACATCTGTTCAGTGCTTCAGCACCCGTCCACACTTAACACTCTTTTATTTCCTATTGCCAGGAGTACAGAGGGAAGGTGCTGAAGATTTTGCAATTGTACGTAGCAAGTTTGTGGTTTGTTAGCGTAAATCTCTTGGTTCTTTTTGCCTGGCATCCCTTATTCCTGCTCCTCCCTGCTGTTGGGGAACCAAGGGCAAATCAAGTCAGAAGCCTAGCTGCTCAGTGCCCCTCGGGAATGCCTGTGGGAATTGCAGGTTCGTTTCCTTCAGAAATCTTCCAAGTCTTGTTTCTTTGTTAAGTGGGAAAACCAAAGCTGGGGCTGGGGTGTGAAGACTTACCTGATTAAGTCTTGCGATTTTTTTTTCTTTTGTTTGTTTGTTTGGGTTTTTTGTTTTTGTTTTTCATTCGATGAAACCGACTTTGTTTTTAACAGATGCTGCCTTTTGACAAATGTTTTTGTCCCTTGACACCTCTACGGCCTCTGCCCCGCTCGGTCCTCAATCCCCCTCACCCCACGGTGCCCGGCGGTGCCGGCGGCAGGAGGCCGGGCCCGCCCCGCCCCGCCATGAGGGCGGGCTGGCCCTCCCGCCGCCGCCCAGGGAAGGGGGAGAGGCCTCCGCCGCCATCTCCGGCTGTCCCCGCCCCGATCGTGACGGGGAGGGGAGCGGGCGGGCCGGGCAGCCGGGCCGGCCGTGGGGCGATGCGGAGCCGCAGCAACTCGGGGGTGCGCCTGGACGGCTACGCCCGCCTGGTCCAGCGGACCATCCTCTGCCACCAGGTGAGCGCGGCCGCCGCTCCGGGGCGCCTGTTCGGGGCGGGAGGGCCCGGTGCGGTGGGGCTGTGACGGGGGGCGCGGGGGAGCTGCCGGGGCCGGTGACGGCGGGCTGGGTGCAGGAGGGGCACGGCGGGGCCGGGGGGAGAGCATCCCCCCTCCAGCCGGCGCACGGCCTCCTCCCCTCCGCATCTCCTGTGCCCGCCGGGAACGCCGAGGCGCTGCGGATCCGGGCAGTGCTCACTGCTGCTTGTGTACATGCACCTTGGAAAGCCTGTGGAAAATACAGCGAGCCTGAGCTTGCAGATAGTAATACTGTATAATAGTAGTAATGTGTTCGTAGCCATCCCCTCCCACTGAGGGATATATCTCATTGTTGTCTTCAGCATCCTCACGAGGAGGAGGGACTGGTTCCAATCTCTTCACGCTTGTGAACTGTGACAGGACTTGAGGAAACGATATGAAGCTGAGTCAGGGGAGGTTTAGGCTGGATATCAGGAAAAGGTTTTTCACCCAAAGGGTGCTTGGGCACTGGAGCAGGCTCCTCGGGGAAGTGGCCACAGCACCAAGCCTGACAGAGTTCAAGAAGCGTTTTGACAACGCTCTTAGGCACATGGTGTGTGATGTGATTCTTGCGTGTCCTGCACAGGGCCAGGACTTTTGGACTCGATGATCGAGATGATTCCCTCCCAACTCAGTATGTTCTGTGATTCTGTGTTATGATACACACCCATCCGCTGCACACTATACACACTACATATATATATATGTATATATATATATTTATATATATATATATATATGTACATGCCCACACCACCATTAAGCCCTGGTAACTTAAGAGCTCTGAGCAGGGCCTTTGGGCCGTGTCTGTCAGCAGAGCTCGGTGTGGATCCGGGACAGCGCAGGGCCCCCTGTGTGCTCCCTGTGTGCTCCCTGTGTGCTTCCAGTGGCACGTGTGTGCGGCGGGGCACGTCCCAGAGATTCCAGTCTCTTCTCCCTCTGTTAACGCTGCTGGGGCTCTGGCTCGTCAGGCAGGGCTGCCTGCACATGTGAGCAGTGAAAGAGCGAAGATAGCGGGGGTGGTTGGGGCAGGCTGTTACTCACTCTGTGCCCTTGGTCAGCGCAGTGCTCTCTGCTTTGTGTGCTCCCTTCACCCAGGCCGGCTCTGAGGACTCACAGTGTGCTCAGCAGTGTCATGCCTCGGTTATAATAGTCCAGTAAGTAAAGATGAGAGCAACAGAGTTACTTGCACAAATCAGTTACCAAATATACTTTGTTGCTGAGAGTTTCAAGAAATTGGAAAGCAGTGAAAGAAGAGGGCAGGACTGAAATCTTCCGAGATCAATAAAATTTTTGTCACTGTGCCCAGATGCTGTTCTGGGCCCAGGGTCCAGACACCTGTGAATTGGTGTTTGTGTACTTTTTATTGTGAACTCTTGTATTTGTAAACAAATACAAGTACATCTGGAACATAAGTGGTCTGAAGAGATAATTTCGCTGTGCAAGGGTGCAGGAGATGCTTAGGATGACC